GCAATGCACCCCAGTCCTTTTTTCTACCTCTCCAGCGTCCTGATAATGCTGCTGTTTTCTCTGGGATGAGTTAGGTCTGTTGCTGCTGAATTGCTGCTATACTGAATCGAACTTTTCTTTCCAAATATGTGCAATGTGATGTAACTGTATTACTTATATATAAGACTTATGAGAAATACAAGAACAATAACTATTTCTATAATAACTATAAATATTTCTTTCAGCACTTTATTATAGTTGGTCAGTGAAAATGTGATTTTGTTTGATTGTTTTTGAATATTTGCTTGCTTGGATAATAATGTATCAACCTAGGTATGTAATTGCCTAAAATGATTTGGTTTGACTTGTGCTTTGTTCAAATTCTTGTCCTGTTTTTATTAGTATTATTTATTTATTTATTAACTGCTATAACAGCCTTCATACATTGAAATTCTGGAAAAATATCAGAAGGGGTTGTATTAACTTCAAGTAAAAACTTGATTGTGAAGTTTCCTTTTTCTTTCATTTGTAAACAACTCACTCATGTTTTTAATTTGGCTACTTATGTAACTGTACCTATTTGTCATAATATTGCGTGCTGCCTGATGTCAGACTGTATTTTAATTTTGTATTGTTGTGCATAAACCAGTGCATATATCATTGGAAATAAAGCAGTGGTGTAACTTATGTTTTAAAAAGTGGGAGGGACAGGAGAGAGTCTTTGAGAGTGTTTGTGTATCTATGTATTTATTCACGTCTGTGAAATAAAGTATTACAAGAGACATAAGGGGACTTCTAATTATAAAACTACAACAATTAAGTATAATAATAATAATTGTAAAAAGTACTACTACTAATAATGTATTATTATCATAATTAATACAATTATAATTATGACTCAGTTTATATGACCTGATTCATCAAACTTGCACAACAGTAATGACTCGTCCTCTTGTGCGCCACACGGGGGCGTTGTAGCCAGTGGCGCGCGGTCTCCAGTCCTCCGGTATCCCGTCAGCATGAAGACAGAAGCGCGTTGATCAGAGCAGCACATGCTTTCTCTCAGCTACTACTTTAACTAACTCACACTTAGCCAAGATGGCGGATTCCGACGACTGGGGTAAGGATTACTTCCACATTTAGAGCTAAGTGTATGACAGGATGTCGGTCACTGTCTTAACCACGACATTATTTTGTTTTGCCAAAGACGTTGAGAACTTCGAGCCAAGTGAGCCGATCAGAAGTGGCGCCGGGCAGCTGGATAGATGGGAAGGCGAGGACGAGGAGGAAGACGTCAAGGTAGCGTGCTAATGGCCATGCAGTCAAAACTTTATCACTAAAGAGCGTTTTAGTCCTTGCAGTTCTGCCTTCCGTATGATATGTGGCTAAAGGTAGTAACACTAATATGGACAATCATGGTGTATTTTTAGCCGTGTAGCTAGTCTAGAATAGGCCCGTTTTATTTAGTTCCACCAGATGTATCCAGTTGCGTGTTCATGATTATCTAGTAAGTTACTACTGTTACACTGACAGTTTCTGTGTTTACGTCAGCAAACGTGTCATCTGCCAGCTTGACGGGTCTGTTATCTGACAGTTTCTCTTTTAGCAATAATAAGTTGCCAGCCCTTTAAAGATTAATCAAACTAATATAGGAGTTTTGGCAGCACATCGGCCACATCATGTGAGTGTCCGTGGTTGAAATGTATTGACTGAAATGAAACCAGTTCCGACAGCGACCAAGTGACAGGACACGTGGAGCTTCATTAGCAGCTTTTTCACTTCTTTTACTTGTTCATTGTACTAACTCAATTCAAAAATATGTTGCTCGTCTTAGTTATTACAATTGTTGTAGCTACTTTAGCTTGTAATGTATTATTTAGCGCCGAGAACGTGGATGAAGTTCTAGAATTCTCTCACGCGCCCTCCTCTTTTCGAACTGAGAGAATGTGAGCGCGCGCGTAATTATTGTCATTTACTGCAAGTTGTTTTGTTTGAAAGGCAGCTCTGGAAAAGACTCTCCGAATTAACCCGCTAACCGAGGCCTCAAGAGTTCAAATAAACCTTTCTGGAATGACAGTATTCTGCAGGGTGCCCACGGCCATAGAAAACCTAGAAATGTCAGGAAACTTCACAATTATGATTTTTGCGCCTTCAAATCTTTTAAAAAGGCATGGAGGAAATTTCTGTACTGCACTTGCTTCTACTTACTCAGCTCAAATGTAAAAGTTAGCTATCATCAGTTTTGTTTTAAATTGCTTCATTACTATTTCTGCCGGTTCAGTATTCATTGTTTATTAATTGTTTATTACTTTTGTGAATTTGTAAAAACTGTTGTTTTATAATCTTTGGGCCTGTGTAATTATAATGGCCAAACTAATCAAAAACACTTGTTCTGTTATTAATTTAATGATGATGAAATAAGTAAGGAATAATGAAGTATTGAATCATTACATTATTCTGCTTATTACACGGATGAAAGTAAATAGGGCATGAAAACATTCTAATTGAGTTAAATTTATTTTGTTAGTTTACATAAGGTTTCCATACATTTTGCTTTCTGCAGGATAACTGGGATGATGAGGAGGAGGAGAAGGAAGAAGAGAAGAAAGTTGAACAGAAAAAAGCAGGTACTAATCTCTGTTGAGTGGTCAAATTTTACAATGTAAACATGTTGTAGGAAGAGCCATTGCATATTTGTAAAACTCGCCATTAAGTAGATCTTTTGGGTGTGTGTTGTTTTATTACTGTTTTTCTTTAACCCAAGTGGAAAGTACTCTTATGGTTTGATTTACATTTCCTATAGAGTTGAAACCCCCTGAGAAGAAAAAGTTAAGTGATAAAATAAAAGAGAAAGAAATTTTGCAAAAGAACAAACAAGATGAGTTGAAAAATAAGGTAAGAAAAAAATATTATTACTTGTATAATTACTCATTAATGCATTAACCCCTTTCTTTCCTGATACTCATTTCTTTTGCGTATCCTAAACCGTTTAACCTTAGTTTTTGAAACCTGTGAACAGATGGAAAAAACGGTGAGTGAGACTCTATCAACAGAGGAGCAGCATGCAGAGAAGCTTCGACTGAAGAAACTGCAGGAGGAGGCAGACATGGAATTGGCCCGTGAGGTGTTTGGTAAAAAAACAAGTTGTGTGCACAATATGTGAAGCTTTCCAAGTGCATATTTTAATAGTTAATCACTGAACAATCATTCTGATTTCAGGTGTCGATCCTGCTGCTGCAAATGCCTCTACTACTGTTATCACAACCAACAATGCCTCTGGGATTGAAGCCATGTGCCCTTCATCCAAAGATGACTTTGTTGCATTTGAAAATTTACTGAAAGATAAGATAACACAGTTTGAAAAATCAGTGCATTATTCCAGCTTTTTGGAGTCACTGTTTCGAGAGCTTTGTATTTCATGTAAGTGCGGAAATATTTGTTTGTTAGTAGTTTGTGTATATTTTAATAATGGTTGTTTGTGACCGAGAATTACTGATATTTCCACATATATGGTAGACCTCTCAAACATAAAACCTTGCACATGTCTGATGACTAATGTTCCCCCCCCTCCCACCCCCTCCCCTCTGTGTAGTGGAAGTAGATGACCTGAAAAAAATAAATAATTCTTTGTCTGTTCTGCTCGGTGAAAAACAAAGGCAAGAAAAGGTGAGTTGAATGATTTTGCTTCTTTGTACTCCGTTTTAGAGAAACTCCTCAAAACCTCTTTTGAGTGGAAAATAACTTGATTCTTGCCTAGATTGAGAATCTTATTTACAGCCACTAAGACTACTTGTTATTTATAATTCTGTATTGTTCATTATAATCAAAATATCAACAGCAAAATACTCGATATTAATTTGTTGCTGTTATTCACAGGAAAAGAAGGCAAATAAGAAAAAGAAGAAAGGTGTAGTCCCTGGTGGTGGATTGAAAGCAACCATGAAAGATGACTTTGCTGATTATGCTGGTTTTGACGATGGCTATGGCAATGATTTTGATGACTTCATGTGACGAAGGTTCATCATCCCCCTTCCCATTCCCTCTGTGCCCAGATGCCCTTGCAGACATGCAACATTACCCTTTCATGCTTCTCAGTGCCATCTTGGACACTGAACAATTGTGTCAACCCTTTACTTGGTTCCAGTGGTGACGGACTCCTCATAAAGCTGCTATCAGCCCATTGCACCCCAGCGGCAAATGGGGGAATAGTACATTTATTCAGACGGCCTTGAAATCTCATTTTTATTTTAAAAAACAAGACTGTATGATGTGGGACATTTTTGATGGAGGCGTTTCCTCTGATTGGCTTAAATAAGCATTTCAATGCCTTATAGAGAACTTTGTATACAATATCTCTTGTTTTCATTGAAAGTGACTTATGTTTTTAAAGCTGTGCAATTTCAGTTACACAGAAGTAAATGTGATGCTCTATGCAAATTAATTTCTTCCAAGAATGTCCTTATCGAAAGTATGGTTATACTTTTCTTGCATATTTATCCACAATTGGAAACCGTATCAGTTTTCCAAATGTGAACCATTCAACATTTGAAAATCGGACGTTTGTCAGTTGAGTCAACACTACATAATGAACACTGACTAAATGAAAGGATGAAAATGGGAGTAAAACAAAACCGAAACCAAGCATCATCTTGAATCTGTTGACATTGACTTTATGGGAAATCAGAATGGACTATGTTGCGCAGTTGTTTCTCTGCCAAAGTATATTTTAAATGAACTTATTGCTGCACATTTGATCAATTAATGATAGTCAATATTGCTGCTCATATGACAGTATATGATCACTGTTAATCATTACTAACTGAATCAGCAGGTCCATGGGTCTCGTGTTTTTGTTTGACCCGTTGTCATTATACAGTAAGCTTCTACAGGCATGTATGAAGTAAAATGAAATGCAAACTTGGCAGCAAAAATATTTCTAAAAAAAACAGCTTAGAGGATTTTCTCACAAATTTGCTAAAATTGGACAAAAACAATATAAAGACAAAGGCATGTTTTTTTTTAAAGTCTAATTTAATAAAATCATTGGACTAAATTATCACTTGGTATTTTTGTAAAGGGTTTGGACAACTTCAGAGTTTTTCTAATTGAGTGATAAATGGCATGCGTGTTTGTTTGGGTGGAAATGTGATGTTCTACTGCAAGGGTTCTGAACTCTGGCTCTCGAGGTCCACTTTCCTGCAGAGTTTAGCTCCAACCCTAATCAAACTCACATGAACAAGCTCATCAAGGTCTTTAGGATCACTAGAAAGCCACAGGCAGGTGTGTTTGATTAGGGTCGGACCTAAACTCTGCAGGACACTGGACCTCGAGGGCCAGAGTTCAGAACCCCTGTTCTGCTTTGTTTTTGATACTCTGAAGTATGCAATAAATATTCAAATATTTACAGTTTCAAGTAGTAAAATATTTACCACAGTACAAGTCAATAGAAAACATAAATGAAAAATTACATGAAGCATGCATTCCTCTTGAGTTGCTGTTTTAAAAAATATGGTAATTTTAGTTAGGTTTTGGTAGGCTTTTCTTCGCTCTAATATTAATTTGATTTGCAATTCATGAAATCTAGTATTTTTTGCCAGTTGATGTTATCAGCAATACTAAATTGCTGTGGGACTTTGCCCCAGCCATGTTCAAATACAACTGAAATGCTGTCAAGTTTTAAAATGGCTTAAATCCAGTAACTCTGAATGAAACAAACTCACATAAGAGCAGCCCCCATAGGGTATGGGTCTGTCTTGTCTCATGTAGAGTTTTTAAGTTCTTGGAATATCAACCAATGGTCTGGGCACGCGTGTAGGAATTACGAGTACTCCTCCTACTACTGCGAGGTGCTGTTGAGCCACCTCTCTGCCTCCGGTTTCCTCTTCCCGGCCTTGCACTTCCAGCTGTGGCCTGACCCAGTGAGTTCTGTATCTGCTGGAACATACTCTGCCTAGTGACCTCTTTATCACCACAGGTGAATGTTAATGCCACTCCTTCATTGCTCTTCATGACTCGAGAAGTGCCATCTGATGTACCATCAAAGCAACGTCCAAGTGCAATTTCTTTGGCTGTCCGAGGATTTTGGTCAGTCACTGTATATATACCGTAGTTGTGGCCCAGTGGGTCTAGAGGTGCAAGCATGGTGAACTCATTGGTGTCATTGTTGACAGCAAGTGGAAGATGATTCACCAAGTATTCCTGTAGCATGCTGTTTACACTGTCTCCCTTGCAGCTGCCCTGAGGCATTACTTTCACAAGGGTCCGATCCACTCGGTCTTGATCATACAGCATCCCACTGCACTTAAACTCCAGACACACTGCTGAAACAGTTGATTGGTCCATGTCTCGGATGCTTCTGGTGTCACGAATGCCATACAGTTGGCCAACGGTTTTTGGATGGGTACCTCCCATATTGCGAGACCGAACGTTGAGCTCATGGGCACTGTTGAGTTTTACTTTAATGTAGCAGGCCCTGTATTCCATGGGTTTTGGCCACCAACTCAAGTAGTCTTCAGTCCAGCTCATGGGATCATCCTCATTAAAAGGCACTGTGTTGTAATCATATCGATCTCCTTCAACTCTTGAGAAACGGAAGTGAGCTGCACTGAATGGAGCCTCCTCACACTCTTTAAGTTTGTCAAATGGATAAACTGGACCATTGGCCTCCTCAGCTGTGTTCGAACGGGGTTTGGCCACATTGATGCTGAACGCTGTCTTTTTTATTCTGGGATCATCATGGTCAGTGCGTCTGTAGTTAAGTTTATTCAAATAGGGTTGCGGGACGCCAATGGTGTTAGGATTCAACTTGGGAGAGGATGCTACTGCCTCTAGCTCTTCTCCCCCAAGGTTGGCCATGACGTAGGCCGAATATGCATCTGATTTCTGTTCATCACAGAAAGCTGGAAGACATGCACCATTTGGGCCAGTGATGACACTATCAAATCTACCCCAAGCCCGAGGGTTGGTTGAATACCTTGGCGTGGGCTCCATATTTATTAAAGTCATCACGACTCCTTCGGTTTGCTCACTAGGCATGTACCGTTCACTACGGAAAGCCCGCACTTTCACATAACATCTCCTGTTCTCAGGTACATCCAAGTTAAACAGCCGTCTCTCACGTATTTCCATGTTACCTATGAGGAAGGTTCTCTCCTCTCTTTTCCCCCGTTGCTTCTTCTCAGCATGGAACTGGCCCTCCTCCTCCCACAAACCTGTATCAGGATTAAGGGACCATAATTTCATTGTCTTCAAGTGCTCAGGCATCTTCACTTGTGCTGCATCGAGACGCACTTTCACCTCTCCGGCATTGAGCGACTCGCCTCCTTCTTCATCCCTGAAGTCCACAGAGAACATTCCATAGGTCCTCAAAGGCAAAGTGTCACCTTCTTCACCAATGAAGTTAAGATCACTTTGGGCAGCCGCTGCTGTTGATACATCCCTGGGGTCAAGGAAAGTCACGCTGGCCTTGACATTTCCCATGAACACCTCTCCATTTTCTTTATAGAATGCATTAGGTGGGATCTCAATCTCAGCAATGGGATCCTGGCCTTCTACCTCACCAAGATCTAGCTTATTAGTCTCTCGTGAGCTAATAATCACAGCTGGCTTTTTCCTCAACAGTTTGATCTCGTGGAACACAGCTCCACCTCTAGGATTGAATGGTAGCACTTTTGTGGTATTCACAAACTTCTCAATGTTGTCCACAAAGGTGAGAACCAGACGTTCTGTGTTTGTTGGTACCTGGATAGAGAATGTGCCTTTGTATCCAGTTCGACTTATTCTTGTGCCATCCATGTAGATGTGTCCAAACCTCATGGGCTCACCAGTGTCTGCTGCGATAGCACATCCACGAACGATAGCCTTTGTGTCCACACATGTTTTACAGCCACACTGAGTCACTATCATGATGGGCAACTGATATCCCTGACATGTAATCTCTTTCTCCTCCATGTTTGAAATTCCACAGCAGTAGGAAACTGAGTCTTTGCATCTGATGCCGCTATCCAGCTTCCCTGTACACATAGAGGTCGGGCATCTCCCAACATCGTAGTAGAAAGAGTTAGTCTCGTTTTGAAAGCAGTCATGTGGTAGTCGGATCAGATGGGAATCAGGCTTAGGGTTGCATGATGGTGCTTTTAGACCTTAACATAGAAATGGATAGAAAACAGATAAATACCAAACTGAGACCAGACTATTTGTAAAGTATTTTGATACATTTAAGGTTAAAATGAAATATGTGGGTTAAAATAGGATGGCAGGGCACACCAATAACTGTCAGGGTGGCTGGCTTAGATTTGATGGCTCCGTTCTCATTACTGGCTCTGCAGTAGTATTGTCCTATATGGTCCAAACTGAGATTAATCAAAACCAGTGTCTCGTCATACTGATATTGACTCCTGTCCAGCAGAGTACCGTTGTGGAACCTAAAGAGTGATAACAGCGATTATCATTGTTCTCACATTTAGGATAATTATCATGCTGTGGGGATGAAGAAATAACTTCATGATAACCTGGTTTGTCTGAACTGTCCTCATTTAACCCTATATTTATTTATTCATTTATTTATTGAAGGAACATAAAACATGAGGGCTTTGACTTTCGTCTATTTGTCATTCTCTACTTTCTCATTTAATACCATCAGATAAGGAAACATGGTTTACTTGTAATCTGTTGAAATTTCAAAGTGAACATCAATTTATATTTAAAAGCTTAAGCTTACCATTCATACTGGTTTGGTTCAGGTGTGCCATCAACCTTACAACAGAAGGCAGCTGTCTGACCTTCCCTTCTGGCCTTGTTCTCAGGGTTTTTCAACACATACAGTTTTTCTGAGGAACACATTGATGTTGCATTAGAATCATTGATTTTGTACATTTTTATGCTTTCAAACTTAAATGTTTGGTTTCCTGTGACATATTCCGCATTGTATTCCACTGCTAATTTTTTACCAAGATAATCTTATAAAGCTAGCTAACATGAATGAAACTGTCAAAATGACTTGTGATAGTCTTGGGAAGCATCAGTACAAATGTGTTTAACTACAAACCAATCAGTAATGTTTTACATTGTATGCCACTGTTTTCTAGAAAAAGTGTGTTTATGACTTTATGAACCACTGGGAAAAAATATTATTGAATTATTATTATTATTGACCCCTGAAATGATTGTAACATTTAAACTAATCGTCAGAAGGTCTTCTTGAGATGGTATTCTAACGCTAATACAGATCGTTCATAGGTCAAATGGATTCAAGATCATTAAAGAAGCATTACTTGCTCTCTCTAGCTTCAAAAGGAGAACGGAGGTGCGTTCAGGGCTTGGGGGCACAGTGACTTGGTGTGGAGCGTGGTGTTTCAGCTTGATCATTAGCATCGTGTTGCCATCAGGGCAGATTCCAGGGACCTGAAAATGGCCATTGTGATCAGTTACAGTAAGGAGTTTGGGCCTGGAACCAGCACGGAGGATGGCAGCTCCAGGTGCAGGGAGACCCCCAGCACTACGGACTGATCCTAAAACTGTATGATCCTGGCACATGCAGCCATTGCACTCATCGTTTACCTTGCCCATCACACACTGCAGATCACAGCCTAAAAAGTAAAAAGGGGAAAGAGATTTTTGTCAACATATGCCTAAAAAACTAGATTTTTCAACAAATATAAGGTAAATTGGATAAATTATTGCACATGGTCTGACTGTCTACATGGATAACAATAAAAATTAGCTGAAATTCTAACTGACAAGAAAATCATCTTTTTTAATCTTTAGGAAAAGGAGTAAACGCATTACGTGGACAAGGTGGCCCTTGGCATGACCTGGCCTCGACAGTTTGGCCATTGCATTGTTTGGAACTGGATTTGCAGCTTCTAGAGCGATGCTGTATTGCAGCCTGATCACACTGAGCTGGACACAGACTCCAGTCTGACCATGGACCCCATATCACTTCTTCAACATCTGAAACAATTTCTGAATGGAGAGCGAGAGATTCTGCTAAATTTCTAGGGTGTTATCAGAAATCAAAAACTGATGTTAACTCATGGTAAATTCAAAATAACACATTTTTGAAAAAGGATTTCTGCCGTAACATCAACAAATCCAAATTTTCCATATTTAATCAATTCACCATCATTATCAGAGAAAATGTGCACAATAACACTGAGCTTTGAACATAGGAATGTCATGGCTTTTACAGCCTCATTTACTTACCTTTAGGACACAGGAAACGTATAGCATAGTTTGAGCAGTTTCTCCCAACAGGCTGTTCATCATTGATACACCAGAAGCCCACAGCTGGGTCAGCATGTACTCTTTCCCCAGTGCTGCGAGCTGGGATCCACTCGGTAGTGCGTGCCTCTAGAGCTTGAGGAACCTCACAGACACGGGCTCGATAATAAAAACGAATGGCATTCAGCTTCTCATAGTCTCCTTTCCCTCCAGGGTGATCTACATTGAACCATGTGGTCCACTCGTAATTATCTGAGGAAAGGAATAATTGTTGATGGCTTTAAGTACTAATATGGCTCACCTTTTGAAATATTTTATTGGTTATGAATTTTTAGAAACCTACAAACCTACCTTCATTATGGTACACAGCTGGGTTTGGTCTCCATGATGTCCCCATGATGCTTCTCCATGTCCCTAATAAGGAAACTGTATTAGTTTCTTCTTATAATTAGTTTTACAATGATGCAGCCCAATGATGGGTTTTTGATGTGGTAAGAGGCTTATTGTCATGGGTGTTGTTAATAAAAGAATAATTTTGTTTTTCTGTGATTTTTCGCCCTTCAAATTACTTCAGAAAGAGATTTCCGCTAGTGGTTCACACACAGAGTAGAACCAATTGCTAGCAGGTGGCTTTCTGCTGCTGGCTCGCAAAACACCTCTGCTTCTGGATATACTGGGGACACTAGAACAATGTTGCCTTCAGTAATGGGTTTGCTGAAGAGAGGTTTGGGGGTTGGGGTATTGGAAGAGTCATGTTTCTAAGAGCCAGCTGTCAATATCCTGTTGAAATTTTTCAGCTTCTGCCATGAGCAATGACATGCCAGATAACTGGTTTAGCAATTACTTGCATTAGCATTTCAGTGTGAAATGTGCTAATTATAATTCATAGGGCAAACAAACCTTGAGAAAATGTGCTTGTAATTCCCAACAGAAGAAAGGTCCATGTTGAGAGGCAGCCCATCCTGGCTCCCTGTTAATTACCTCCGACCTCCAGTAAAGGGGCTCTGACCTCTCACACACAGCTCCCTCCACACTAAGAATAGTCCAGCCACAGATCTTGTGCCGATCAGATATGAATATGAAGACGATTAGTAAATTGCACAGAAGGAAATGGACCATAGTGTTTTCATTTCTGTAAATCATACAAGAAACTCCCATGTCCCTTTGTTCAACTAGTTATGAACTCATTTCAACCTTTCAAAATACAAACTGACCTGAGAAAAATTCCTTTACTTAAAAACGTTCCATTTTACAGAAACAGCTGAAAGACTTTGGACAGAATTCTTGAAAACTCATTCTGAAACAAAGACAAGCTGCAGAAAAAGAGCTTAAGTACTTAAATTTTTAGCTGCTCTCAAATATCGCATCTGTGAGAACCATCACTGTGTGTCAAGGGAATGTACAACTGTTTTTACATCCTGCCAAAATACTCAGACCTAACTACACATTCCATATGAACAAACAATTTGTGCATGGCGTGATGAAATATTTTTCAGTGCAGTCAATTTGAACAGCTTCTGTCTGTATTCACATTTGTTACAACTTTAAAAGACCAGACACAATATGACTACTCCAAAACAAAAATGACTACAAATGTCACAATCAAACAGTACTATATTACAAAATATGAAGATAAAAATCATTTGTACATACAAAAACAAACAAACACACACAAAATATAGGACTGAACAGATAATTTTGCTCAAAAATCCATATGACCAATACAAAATCTACAACAGTGAGAACATTTCTTTCTATAGAAAACAATTTAGAAAGCATTAGTGTCTGAATCCAAATCTACAAAATGTGGTTACAGTAAAAAAGATGAGAATATGATACCTTACCAAAGGTTTTTCTGTGAAATGGAAAGCTTTTGTACTCCTGCTTGTTTCTGTGGTATATTTACAGAGTAGTTGATAAATAGTTGGAATGAGGAGGAGAGAGAGGGAATGTGAAGTCCAGGTTTGTGTCCGGTGCTTATATAGCTCAGCCCTGAGCCATAGGGTCGGCACTCTGCCATGAAACAACAACATGGGTTCAGCACCATCTACTGCTCCTCTACAGTAGACTAAATTGCTGTGTGAAAGGGGTGTTCTGGAACAATCATCTCAAAGAAGTAAAAGAGCCTCTATAGATAGTTTTTTTTTTCAGTCCTAGTAGCAATAAATGGATCTTGTGACAAGATATTCAGGTAAGGGTGTACAAATGTAAACAGAGACAAACAAAGTTGTTGTTGTGTCAGCACTGTGGTGAGATATTCGTTGCTGGGAGTATGTTTAGTTATGCAACATTCACAAGAAAGCCATTCAAGAATGACATCCATGTATTTCAAACACATGAAAGCCATTACTTGACTCTTTCTCAAACACATTAGCATGCTTTTCCCCATCCGTCCCTCTGAATGTGTTGATAAACAATATGAGTGATTTGTAACACTAAAGAGCCAACAGCAATACACTGTGGCTTTTCAGTCATGAGGTCAGAATCTGCAGAACAAATCCACTGTATCAGCAGAACATAAACCTGCTTGAAATCTGTAAGGAATAACAAATCCTAGGGTCAATGGGAAGTCAGAGCAAAACAGGTCTAAAACATTGAAATATGGGAGATCAGGTCTTGTTTTAGATACAAAAAAGTGTTACTTGGATTAAGGCCCTTTAAGATCTCACTTTCATATAACTGACCAACTCAATGAAATCAGCAAAGCAGCTCCAAACTTTAAACAGCAATGGGCCAGTTTCTGTGGTCCAAAACAGCTTCAAACAGTTTCACTCCAGTGGCCCTAATGAAATTCAGTATTTAATAAGGGCTTCCTGTGAACGAGCTTTACATGCTTTAATGCAGTTTTCTAGCACTGTAAGAGATATAAGATATTTAACAGATTGGCGTTGGATAGCAGTCATTTTAAGTCCGACGGTTGGCCAAAAAAAACATGTTATTGGCATCCTTTTTTGTGGAACTTTACTCTCATGAGAAAAAAGCCAATTTAACTTACTGTCCTAAAATCTAGAGGTCATTGATTAAAAAATGTTCTTCATTGTCTGTGTGGAGCATAAAGGGACACATGAAGGTTTGTGATACTGTTGACGTGCTGACTTAGTTGTTGGAAGCTGGAGAATTAGAAACACCAGATGTTCTGGGACTTAGAGCATATTCTAAAAGTATGCTCATCTGTATCCCTGGAATTCAAATGACCTTCATTAACTTGTCTCATAATATTAATAAGAAAAAGCAAGAAGCATGGAAGAGCAGTATCCAGAAATGGCTTCACTGCAGGCAACATTTAAGCCCAGCATGCATGAATGGAAAAGTAGACAGCACCTATAAAATCTTACCTCAGGTTTTCTGGACACTGAGTGTCGCATGAGCGTCCTGTTTTAGGGCAATTTGGTGGAGTGTGAGGTCATTAGAACAGTATAAAAACAGGAAGTAGTTAGTGTCCCAGCTGAGATGCCAGTATTCACAAAAGTAAATTCAGTAAGAATGGAGACAATATTATTATTTTCCAAGAGAGAGAACAAACGGTCTTGGTTAGAGGTTCTTCTTGTACCCCAGAAAAGCACAATGATTCTCAACAATCAAACTCGCACAATTTACACACACACATGGACACACACTCTTTTTATTTCATTGCTTACTAAAATAACTGTGGCAGTACGTGTGGTGCCAGATGTTAATACCATGGAACTGAATGATTACCATGAACTATGGTACTCCAGGATATTTAAAAAACAATACCATAGTACCACCATCTTCATGTCCCAAAAAAACATGGAACTTGACATTACACATACTGCACAGAACAACTTGTCTCATCAGAAGCGGTTAAATAACCGTACTGCACAGTAATCTTCTGTGATGTTTCTTTATGAGGCCATTTAAAGGGGACTGCTGCTCTTCAAAGCAACTTATTTCTCTCTAATTGAGCTGGACAGGACCTGTAGGGTGGGCTCTAAGAGACAAACTGGAAATACAAACAAAAACAGACAAACACACAAGGTTTGTCAGTTGCCTAGCAATAGGCGAAGACACAAGACAAGTGATGACATACGTCAAGACCTCAGTAAGGAACACGTGGGTTGCAGGTGTCTAGTGCTTTGACTACTAATGCTGGGGAAAAATAAAGATCCCAATCAAACCAAGTTTCTGTAATCTGAGTAAAGTTTGCTTTATCATTTCAGTCACTTTTTAGTCTGGACTTTAAGTTGCACTCTTCTGGAGCAGTGCAACATTTCTGGTCAAGCAGTTTTCATTAGAGTTCTGTAAGTTCATTGTGGCCATCCAGGCACGACTAATCTTGACCGGCAGATACAAGTAATGGCTAAACTCAGTGGGTCTGGATCCAAAATGAATCATACAGGGATAGTGTGCTGGGGTTCTTGAGGAAGCTTGACTTAATGACTACACCAGTGAAAGTATGCAGAGAGGCTTCTGGTAGGGTCATTATGGGGCCTGGACCCCAGGAAGAGCATGTTAACCTCTTTCCTCTTGCCATTCTGAAAGATGCACACATTCCCTGAAGTAACTAAAAGCATTACACATGATTCACTCTGAGAGGTAAATCAGAAGTGGTTGAGCATGTGGATCAAGAACATATGAAACAGATTTGTTGGACACTGTCTTCTTCATCGTCTTTTTTGTGTATAAGTAGGGGTGGTATTCAAGTAAGAGTTCTGTTTCAGACTTGCTTGGGAGTGTTTGAAATATTCCCAAGATCAGACACATAGCCATATAAATATTTAAAGGACATGTTCAACATTTACACACAAGCATATGACCTGAGGCACAGCAATGAGCGCTTTCAGCATGAAGCTGCCCTGCAGCTATAAAACACAAAGACATGCAGAATGGTCCATGAGATTGAAAACATGTGGCAGACCTGCAAGATGGATGAGATGTGCTTAGACCATGCTGAGGAGATGAAATCTTCCAACTTTCTAACATCCATTTGCTTATTCTGACTCAGTCTCTCTCTCCCTCAAAAGTCAAAAAAGGGTACTTCAAGGAAAATATGCTTCAAATCTTCCTGTCTTCACATAAGGAAATGAAATGATACAATTTAATTGCTTTGAAGAGTCAAAGGGTGCCTTTTGAACTACCTTTTTATTTGTGTTCCAAGAATACGTCATCATCTCGTGAACATCAGCATGCATCAGTGTTGCAAATGAATGAATTTCCATTACTTTTCAATAACCTTTCTATCATTTGTTATTGCTGGAAAAAAAAAAATCATGTATATTTAGGCCAATTCACTAATGAATCATTAAGAATATTTTGCAAACCGATTCCCTGGAAGAAGGAAAAAAAAAACTTCCATTAACACAGCTTGCAAGAAAGTTGTACTCTATGCAAAAGCAACACAATTTTAAAATTCCATGATATTTCCATGAGTGTGGAAACCCTGACCATTAGAACAAATGAAGAAAAGAATTCAAAACTATATGAGCAAATTAATTTTGCTGTTTGTCACACTTCTCATGTTTGATGCTATAAGAATGGAGGCAGTGTTCAGAAACAGAACAATAGAAATAAATGTTTTGAAAAGAAATACCAATGTAAGAAACGTAAAACCTCTATTGATAAACAGTCTGCATGAAAAATGTCAAGATGTGTGAACGAAAAATGTAGAGCTGTTGATAGCTGTCTGGCCCTTTTTTCAGGACTACAAAAATATTTTGTTCTTTGTTAATCTATTTCAATGGTTTACAAAATGCTCTTTGTGATGTGATTTAGAAGATGTGTTGAAATATGTGATTTGAATTTCTCTTTTTACACATTATTAATCTGTCTGAAGTGAAGTTAAGTCTGAAGTGAAATTCCAGCACAGTTAAAGGTTGTTTTCAGACCATGAAAGGCAACCTTAGAAGACGTGTTTATGCTGCTGGTCTGTTTAGTCACAGCACCATTCTCACATATTGCTAACAGTGGCCACAGATCTGCTCACCTCCTGTGGATTTCTGCATGAGGATCTGGACATTGTGCACTTTCACATTTATCAATGGAAACAAAGGTAAGAAAAGCCAAACTTTCAGGAGTCGAAGATTTTTGGTTAATAAAGCAAAGAGTGTGTGTGTGTGTGTGTGTGTGTGTGTAAGTGAAAGTGAGAGAGAGAGAGAGAGCAGGACAGAGAGGGGGAGATGGGAGGAACACCAAACAGTGTGAAGGGGCTGGTGAGTCAGTCTGTCTCCTGCCAAACTTAAAGTGACCCATTTAAGATGTGGCTGTTACAATCACATTTTGACAGTGTTTTTCACAAACAGATTACATCACTGTCTGTGAGCTCCAGACCAGCCTCTTCCTTCTTTTCCTGTGTTCACCTTATCAAAAAACAAAAACCTGGAAAAAGAATACTGAGAGTGAGACGCATTAAAGAAAGAAAAAGAAAGAAAAAGAAAGAAAGAAAGCCTCTAGGCCTCTAGGTAAACATCTGTTTCTCATTCTTGATTCATGTCTGGGCTTCTGAACTCACATTCAGATGAGTGGCTGAACTAAAACAACTTCAGGCTGCTTTAAAAACCTATTTCACCAGACTCACTACAACACTGACATTCTCTCAAGACCTTATTAGTAAAATTCATTGACTTGACGAAAAAGTCTCAGTATCAACAGACAAATCTTGTAATAGGTCATTTATTAGCATTCATCACATTAATCCTGGTTAATTTCTCTGCTGTTTGATAAACACCTTTCTTGAAGTTTTTAAAGCAGCAACATAGTGTATCTCTGTTTAAAAAAATAATAATAACCTCATAGTCCTTAAAGGGGTCATATGATGTTGCTAAAAAGAACATTATTTTGTATATTTGGTGTAATGAAAAGTGTTTATGCGGTTTAAGGTTAAAAACACATTATTTTCCACATACTGTACATTATTGTTTCTCCTCTTTGCCCCGCT